GTATCTTGTGAATACACTTGCGAGAAGAATTACAACGTGATTGTGTTCAAGCTGTTGTTTGATCTCAGGGGAGCTTACTGTCCTTCAAAGGAACGTAGCGCAGAAATCCAAAGCCGTGCAAGACCTATTATCCCTTCATTTTCGACCATGAACCAAATATACCCAGTTGTCCAGTGGCGTATCGTGTGCACCTTCTTGCGCAATCCTACTTAAACGTGAACAGGGTAAAAGGGTCGGATCGCCGTTCTGATCATGGCCGAGACAACCAGGCGTACTTACAAGGTGGACGTGAGAACTGCTTGTTGGTCATCCAACGGTGCCAGGATTGGTCGCTGGACTTTGTCTCCAAGAGGTTTGCCCCAGAGGCTCAGCGGCTTCGATCACGACGGCAAAGCCATTTTGAAGTGAGTGGTTTTTGGGAGGTGATGTAGAGAGGTGGAATCCAAGGCACAGAATCCAAGCTGCTGAGGACTGCTTTTGTCCTGACCCTCCGTTGAATCCAAACTGCGAACACGAAATACAGGCACCTTTCAAATGTGGGGCGACCTCCTCAGGCTGCACTTTGCTTCAGACAGCGAGTGTCAACCAGGAGGAATCCTCAAGACTCAGCTGAAAACTCACAGGAACCTGTTGATTCCATGTGAATGTTTCGGAGAGTACGGTCGTGTCGTTAAGCGGCGCTCACTCAGGTTAATTCACCTGAATTGTCTCTTGAGTTGTCCCTAATTTGCTGAGCGGTGCAGCCTACTAAACTTGGCATGATTTGAGATCTTGTGACTGGGCTGCGCTACGTCCGCGCGCAGAATGGCGCAGAAATGGTGCCTTTACGTGCTACTCGCAGCTCGCAAACGCATTCCCAGATCCGGTGAAAAGCTTGGGGTCACGAAGGATACGAGGGATAATGGAGCTTTAAGTGACGGGTTGGTTGGTGAGTCGTTGTTGCCGTGTTCCCTTGTCCTGACCAGCGCAGGTGGCGGAAATCCGCAAGCTCTGCAAGGACCCATTGCGGTGAGCTGTGGGGCAGGGGTGCTTGTGAGTGCATCCAACTAAAACTGGGGTTGCGCAAGGTGAGCTTACGCCAGCTCAGGCTTGGTGACTTTGCGGTTTTGTGGGTCCTGAGGATGTCCTGCCTTTAAGACTTCCACTTTGGGCTTTCCTCCCGCTGGTGTTGGCTGTAAGCAACCAAGATTCGGTTAGGTAGTTCACCGGATCCCTTGGCGGTAAGGTGACACGTAGTGGCTTCCTTCCCGTGTCTTTTCCCGGGAGTCTTACCTGTGGTCGGAATGAAAGATCATCAATTTGTAAATATGGTAGCTTCCCATAAACTATTCAGAAACACGCAACCCATTGGTAAGAAGTAAATCATAGTTCCATAAAGCCATGTATTTAGAGTATACAAAGCATAAGATATAGCTTTTCCAAGACGTAGGATTAAACAAAAAAGAAAGACACGTGGTCTTCGCCGATGACCCCACTTTCGGCCCTCAAGGACTGGCACATGACCCACCAAAAAAGGGACGGGCTGGTGATTTGTGCCTCGCTCGTAATAGTGGAGGTATCTCCCTTGAAGAAAAAGGGTTTCAATCAGTTCGGGTTGATCAGCTTGCGTTTTGAGCTGGCAAATGATGATATCCTGCTTGAGGATCTTCAGGTTTCTCTTGATAATGCCATGTTTGCCTTCCCTGACTTTCAGGACATCCGTCCCAGGGAAGGATCCTGGAAGAGTCGGAGCAGGGAAGTGCTCCAGTCATTGCAACCCTTAGTGAACTTACTTCCATGGCCAAGATGTTGTTGATTTCTGTGTGTCTGGTTCGGGAGGCAAAGAGAGCGAAAGAGAGCCAAAACACCAGATGTTTGCTCTCTATTGGTTGTCCCAAAGAGTTTGACAAAGGTGTGGAGTCCTCCCCGCGGCCCTTCAATGTTGAAGGCAGGCCTCTTCTCGCGAGACGGAGTGATGACCAAGGCATACCTAGGAGCAAACGAGCAAGCAAAGAAGCAGGCCATGCTCAAACTCAAACAATACATGTGGATAAGCTTCAACATGTTGTCAAACTAGCGAAAACCCTCAATCAACAAGCCGTCAAAACCCAGTTTGTTTCACCGTCGCCATTTCTCTCAAACCTCAAGCTAGGACTTGCCAGAAAACTTCGACGACCAGAAGCTTATGCGCAGCCAACTGAGAAGCTCTTGCATGAGACGCCAGCCCTTAGCCATGGTTGCAGAAAATGGGTTGTAGGATACTTTTTGGCTATGAAGAAAGTCCCTTTGAAGTAGTGGGGGAGAACCCCACTTTGGTATCTCATAACGGCTGGCGATCCAGTCCAGTGCAGGCCAGGAATCGAGTCCATGGAAAAAGAAGACTGTTCCAGTCCAATTAAAAAGCATGTCAAAGCCAGCTGGCAGGCAACCGTGGCCCATTTTGGGATCAGCAAAGGCAAGCCCTTGCTTCGGCGCTGCCCATGCGAGGCTATGCCTTGCAGCACCCCGGCAAGCCGGAGGAGGCGGCCAAGAACGTCCCGCACCCAAGAGACGGCTCAGCTGAGGGGGGTGAGAGGATATGCTTGAAGATGGGCCCTTGTGCATTTTGTAGTTTCATTGCCATGTGGAGGGAGCGGTTTGCGCGTTTCATGGTGCAATTCGTGGGTTGGAAGTATAGTGAAACACTGGGGACGATCCCATATGGGTCTGATCTTGGGATGCCACCATTGCAAGGTCATGAAGTGATGCGAGCAAGGATCATTTCGACTGCAAAGGGGGGATGACCTGTGTCATCCTGCGCTACAATCTCCAAATAACCGCTCAAAATCACGAACATCCAATGTCATTTGGGGAGATGATAAATATTTGCCTGTGGCTCAAATATGAGCCACCAGCAACACCTTGTGGTCTACGGATTCTATCGGATGGTATCAACTCTTTTTCAGGTTGTCAAGACGACCATTACCAATCTATCTAAAATGATCCGTATCCTGTACCCTCTGCAATAGGCGGGCCCAGTCGCCCTTTACAAAACAAGGGTTAAACAATTTCCATTTGCCAAATGCTGTTTTCATGTTGCCTGTAATACAAGGGCGCAAAACGGCTTTCCTTATTTTGACAGACCCAGTGCGAACTCAAAAAGGGTTGGCTCGTTCCTGGATGAGGCCAACGGCTTCTGGCATAGACATTGGAAAGCCGCTTTCAACGGGCATTCCCACTCGCTCAAAGGGAATCATAGAAGGAGCACCGTGCTTTTGCGGCCAGGCCGCCTTGGGCTTTTCTCGTGCTTACCGTAGCAGGTTGCCCTGAAGGGAAGGCCTTGCGTTGCAATCCCAGATTGCCATAAGGTGATAGTCTACATAGTGCGTCGATGTGTGGAGCCGCCGCGGTTTCCAGAGGTTTCAAGAGATTACTTGTGCCTCCTTTTGCGAATGTGGCAGACTGTTGTAAGTGAGATGCTCCGCTGGGATCTGCCGGCCACAGGTCAAGGAGGTCTTGGAGTGGCGCCAAGGCATGTACGACCTCGCTGGGGAAGGGAGACTGGTTTTAACCGCACAGGCCGCAGGACAGTTGCACCCGCTTGAGTATTCATGCCCAAACTGGCGTGATGATGCCAGGTAAGCAGGAATAAGTGTATATGAGTTAACGAGTTCTTGCAAAATTGGGGGAGCAGGGTGTAGCAGGCGGTCATTCTCACATGATCCACTTCCTTTGTATGCCTTGTCTGGCAATGCAGCGTGGCGACGCGGCGGCATGGTGGCCATTTGAGAGTGGAGATTTGGTCGCCGAGCGCATCCATTCGGCAAGGTGAGGGCGCCAACATTGTGAAGGCGGCAGCAGAGGCAATCAGCAAGGTGCCTTTGGGCAGGTCTCTCGGTTTGGCACAGACTGACCAATGCTTAATTGGGATAAAGATTCCGCAACCATGTTTCGGATGGTTTGCTGGCATGAAGGCTATGTTCTTGGCTGGCAAGGTTTGCAGGGAGCTTTGTAGGGCAAAGTGGGGGGGGAGTACCTCGCAAATAGAGCAATTGGCCCGGGGCCAGGCAATCGACCCCCTGTATTACATTCCGATGGCCACCAGAATTGTACAAGAGGGAAAGAGATCCTTCAGCCGAACCACCACCAAGCACACTCCCTCGCCCAGAAAAGCAGCAGAAACATCAGGTGTGGGGGAGGTGGGTTTAAGCTTGGTCTCGAGGTTCGGCAGAAAAACAAGCACAACTTCAAGCAATGTTTTCCCGCACAAGACGAGTCCTGGCATGATTACTTGTTTCCCGTCGATGAGCCGCGTTTGGAAGATGGCGAAGACTCCTACTGGGCCTTTTCAATGCTTGCTCATCCAAGATTTGGTATGTGGGAAAAACGTTTGGGGATCGCAATTTACGCACCAGCTGATGGGCCCAAGGCGACAGGACCGCATTGCGGATTCCGGATTGCGGATGTCGGGTTATTGCAGGTCATTGGCTCCAGCTACCTTTAGGTGACCGGGAGCGGGTCGCTTCTGAAGAAACCAGATGTTGGATACTCTCAGCACCAAACGTATCCTTTAACAAACCTGGGCATAATCCCAAAAAAGGAGCCGATCCTTTCTGGAGCATCGAGGCGTTGTCCTCCAGAAGGTTGGATGGCTTTTCTTTGCTGTGGATTGCTGTCCTGTTCCGTGCTCCAGGCAATTCAAAAGCTCGGCGCAGGCTTTTCGCTATTTGTTAAGCCGCTTGTTAAAAGGCGACACGAGAGGTTGCCTGAGTCCCAAAAGGGTTCATACGTTGATAACCTCTCATCTAGGCCTTTGCAGGAGACAGATCTGTGGATAGATGGCCAAAAGTTTTGAAACTGCTACGGCAGTAGCCAACCTGCAGAGCGGGGGGGGGGGGGGATTTGAGGATTGCCCCTTTGTTGGTGTTTCAAGGGAACAAAGGCAAAACAAACATGATTCATTCTGAGACTGCCAAACTCCATTGCCTTGATTTTGATGCTTGTTTTCGGTCTACTAGCAGAAAGTGATCAGAGCATCAACAGGCACCTTGCTCTCTTCTCTGCGCTTCGTCCGACTCGACATGGGCTTTGGCGGGCTGCTGCTGTGTGTTTTGCTCGTGGCTGCACGAGGCTCGTTGGCGATGCTGCGTTGTTCTCCGAGTGGTTTGTGCATAAGCCTGATTTACTGAGCTGGCCGTGCATTTGATGGAGAACTCCCTCAACATCCTTCAACAATGGTTGTTGAACATAAATCCCCAGGTAAATTATACCCACAACGGGTGCCCAATGCAACTTCATACCCACCTCTCTCAGTGGCGCTTTTTGGTCTGGAGGGACGTGTATTCTGGGGCGGACCTCAGGAAGATGAACACCCGAAGCTAGGTGTGTTGCTGCGTTTGACAAGGATCCCGGAGCTTTGTGTCATCACGCAACTGCTGACCAAATCTGACAGGCTAATTCAGTCCTGTTGAGATGTTGATCGCTCGGGGGTGGTGCTTTGCATGTCTGAGACCTTCAGGATGTCACAGACACCCAAAGGATTGCAATGACCCGGCGGCTTACTTCGAGATCACTGCCGTTCGTGGGAGGACATCATTGTTGCTATGGTTATGTTGGGGTAAAAACTAGCGCGCACCCTTTTCCGATGCGTCTTGAGCCAACGTTGCAGTTGGTCGTCCATGCTCACGAAATTTGAGTGCTCTCTTCACACTCCCCCTGTGGCATTCGCCACATCAGACCACATCCCAATTGGATGAGTCCGAAGACGAGGCCCTCTTATCGGATTCCTCATCTCGAAAAACTCCTTGAGGCCTACGGTCTTCAAAAGTCTCCGCCTCCGGGAACGTCAAGACCGGCCCCGCGTCCTTACCCCGCTTCTCCGAGCCGCCTCGAGCATAGCCATGGTGAACCTCTCCGCCACCAGACCCAATTGCCCTTGGATCCACGCTCGTTGAAGCCCTCGCACGATTCCTCGTGGATCTTCCGCCAGAATTCTGCTCCTTCCCGACCTTGATCCGGAAGAAGGTGTACCCCCGCCATGGTTGCATCTGCGAAGTCCTCTGTCGCTCTTGATGAGCCGTCCAGCTGTCCTCCACCACGGACCGAATCCCTAAAGGCGATGGGCCCGTGTGTAGCTTCACCGTGATCCTCCTCGATTCCGCTGCATCCAGCGGGAACTCCCTGTGGATCGGGTGGAACTTGCGCTTCCGAGGTTTTCCATGTGCGCGGATTGCCCATCCCGGCTGGGACCAATCCCATTCATCCTTGTTCTTGTTCTTGAGCATCGGGGGAACCTTGTACTGGTCGAGCTCCCACGGGAGTGCTGGTCCACCCTGATGCGAATCTTCCTCTGGATCTTCTGACTTCTTCTCCTCCTCAATCTTCTTCTCCTCAATCTTCTCCTCTGAAGATGGCTTCTTCAACCACCTCAAAGCTCGTAGCCGTGGTCGAACTTCTCGCTCCTGTGGGGCCCTGACGTGGGTGTTCCCAATCCTGGGACGGGCTGGTCCCGCGTCATCCGGGTTGTTATCATCCCTCGGACTGCGGCTTCGTTCACGTTCACCCGGCAGTGAAGTAATCCCCAAGTCCCTCAAACCCACATTGCCCCGCAAAGGAGCCACAAACGTCGTAGATCCCGTCCAGGCGTCTGCTTCGCGAAAAACATCCGTCCTCCAGTTGTCATTGATCACCCGCCGCCCGCGTCTGATGTCGACGAAGACCAAATTTGTCTGTCGCCGACCCTCCAGCATCGTAGCGTTGACCCCCGGCGGCATGTTCCTGGGATCCGGTTGAAAGTCCCGGTTTCTCCTCAGCATGTGGATGCGGGTCGCCACAATGAAGTCCCGCTCAAACGTCACCTCCCAAAAGTCCTCGGGCTCCTCATCCAATGACCCACGATCTGGACCACCCGGAGGTTCAGGCCATGGCTCACTCTGTGCCCCGATCGGCACCTGACCCTTACCTACTGATGCAGGGCAGCCCGTAGGGCAGTGGTAAAATGGCCTGCGGCAAAGATCCACCGGTTTTACCCTGGGGCTGGTTCATTTTCCCTAGCCCATCTTGATGTCACAAAGGGGTCCTCTACTGCGGTCGGTTCATCTTCCCTGACCATCTTTGCAACCCTCGTTGGGTTGTCCTCACGTGCGGCTGGTTCATTTTCCCTAGCCGATCTTGTTTCCCTCTTGGGTTGGGCCCATTGGCCTTTCAGCACGAATCCTACACCCACTCCAAGGGAGGCCAAGCAGACATCCCGGATCAGGCACGATCCCCGATCCTGAGGCTTCCAGCAGGCGATGAGGCCCATCAACCCACTCATCGCAGCGACCTTCACCGCTGCCTCCTTGCCAATGACCCGACCACCGTCTGCTTCTCCTGGTCCTGGCCGCGAAACCACCTCCGACTCATCCTTGATCATGCCCGCCATGGAGTAGAATCGAAGCCACTGGGTCCTCGCCGCGACCGCCTTCGTGAGGTAGTCAGCCACCAACCCGCTACCCGGCAAATGTCTGATCTGCCATTCCCCTTCTCGCACTCGTTCACGCAGCACGTTGGATCGAAGGCGCAAGTGCCGTGTGCGCCACGGCCCCGAAGGACTTTGCACGATGGCCAAGGCCGCCGTGTTGTCCCCGTAGATCACCCGCTCCGCCTCCTTGGCGCTCCAGCATCCTCCCTCGGTGATGTCCAGGATGGCACAGAGGGAGTCTCCCATGATCATGGCCTCGGTATAGCCCACCAACTCCGCCTCTGCCGTGCTGAGGGTGCAAAAAGGCTGTCGACCCGATTCCCATTGGACGAGGGCACCACCATAGAATCCCAAAACTCCCTGGTGGCTCTTCTCTCCCTGCGGCGCAAAAGAGATGTCCGCGTACATTTCCAGCCGCCTCATCGATCTCGCGAAAGGAAGATCTCCTTCTGCTCCTCGGTCCCCCAGGCAGCGCCCATAGACCAGTCCCAAGTCCTTCGTGCCGTAAAGGTAGGCCATCATGTCCTTCCCAGCCTTCACGACTTCCAAGGGGCACCGGGTGACATGTTGCGACATCCAGGAAACCCCGAATGCCACATCCGGCCTGGTGCGCACCGACACCCATAGCAATTCTCCAACCAGTCCCTGCGCCTCCCGGATGCCATCTTGCGTGACCACCGGATTCTCAGGCACCTCCGGCTTGTAGAACGGGGCCGGTTTAGCCATCACCACCTCGTGACGCTGCATCAGCTCCGAGATGTACGAGGGTTGTGCTACCCGGAGAGTCTCACCGTCCTCGTCCCACTTCAACTCCATTCCGCAGAACTTCGTCCATCCTGCCTTGTTCACCCACTCCGGCGCGCTGCAAACCCACTCCTGATTGATCCTCTTGATGACATTCTCCACCAAGGAAGGAGGTCCCACCGCCAAAAAGTCATCCACGTAGATCACCAAGTAGCCGCAGGGCTTAGGGTCCTTGCGAGCCCCGGCCTCAAACTCCACCATAGACCATACACTGGTTTCCGGCGTCCGTTCCAAGCCATAGGTCCTCCCCCGATCCTGCCAGGTGAAGCCCGCTAGCCCTTGATCTCGGAACGCTGACCAGTCTGCTGGACTGGTGTCCAGGCCGTACATGGCTCCTTGAACCAACCACCGCTCCGACGCCTTGACGATCCCAGCCTCCACCAAAACCTTCGGGGGCCTTGTGATTAGGGTTCGCCGGGTCTCCTTCCGGGGCGCCAGCAGGAAGGCACACTTCACGTCCACGGTTGCCAAGGACCACTGTTCGTGGGCTCCCTTTCTCAGAACGCACCTCAGAGCCGTCCCGTCGATGCCCCCGGCATAGTTCTCGGCCTTGTCAGCCGAGGTCCGCGCCACCTTGCCGTTGCCGTCCGCCAGCAAATTGCCACATATCACTGCCCTCGCCCTCTTTCTTCCTGTCGGGGCCTTGATGGTCGTGACCAGCTTCCCCGGGGCGTACTCGGCATCTTCAATCCCCGGAACCGCCGCCAGATCGCCCTCGTCGATGGGCTTGACCACCTCTGTGTTCACCAGAGAGCGATACTCGTCCATCATGGCCTCTCTCCATGCTTCCAAATCCTTCCGCACCTCCTGCAACGGCACCGTGTAGGTTTGCAGAACCTTCGCCGGTTCTTCTCCATCTGCTCCCTGCAGTCCTGCCAGCTTATGGAAGTCCTTATTCTCCCGGTCCTGCATGATCACCAGGTCATCCTCCAGCTGGTTGATGCCACCCAGGAGGAACTCCATCGCTGCTCCTTGACCATTCCCGGTGATCTCATCCATGGGGATCACCTTGAGCTCCTCCGCCAGTGCTTCCTTAAAGCCCCACTGGTAGCTGCTCATGAGATTCTTCGTCTCCTCCAGGCTTTCTTCAAAACTCCATGATTTTGATGGAGAGGTGTACTCCCCCCCCGTTCGCAGTTCACGTAGAGCGGGTGCCAGACCTTCTCCATCTGCCGCTGGATGCCCTTCTTCTCCGTCTCCCCCCAGTTTAGGGCCTGGCTCCAGACTCTGCTTGCCCGTCAACCGCGTTCTCGGTTTCCCTGGATGTTCCTCCATCTCCAACTCATACCTCACTCTTCCCGCCTCCAGGTCCCTTGCGTGGTCGGCCTCCTCGTCGGGCAGAACAGCCGCCCTGGTGTGTTGAATGGCCCCGTCTTCTGTCTGAACCACCCAGCCCCAACTCATCATTGGACTAGGACCCAGTAGGCGTACTTCTCGAAATGGAGAGGCCAGGGGGCCCTTCTTATGCCACCGCTTTGTCTTCACCAGTAGAACGGGAGCATCGGGAAGGTGTCCACCCCAAGTCTCTGGAGCTGCATCTGGTTCCTTTGAAGCACCACATGCCGTAGTGCCGTAGGCCACAGCTTCACCGGAGCCCCTGAGTCCTTGAGGACCACTCGAGCCTTCTCTTCACCTGGTTGACCTCCGTCTCTACTCGTCCATTGGCCGCGTGATCATCGCCCGCTGTCATTGTGAGCAACAGATTGTGCTCCAAACACCACTGCTGCACCGGCCTTGCCAGGAACTCCTTCGCCCGATCGCAATGCATGCGGTACAGCGGGATGCCCAGGCTGCGATACTTCACAAAGATCAGGCTGATGGCTCTAATGACCTCTCTGGCGCTCCTGGATTCCATCACCTCCGC